GGTTTGGTTTTGGTAGTTTACTGGGGTTTTAAATGCGATTTATTAGTCCTGTTTTGATTAAGTATACGCCTAAGGCTTTGAATTTTTCTATTTTATTTTGTGGATTTAGGATTGCTTCTAGAGTAAGAGCCTTATTTAGATTTAGGGTGGTTTGTAGTGTAGTTCGGTGTGTTAGGTAGTGGGTGCAGTGTATGAGTGCGTGTTCTTGGGTTTCTGGTTGTTTGCAATGTGGTTCCTGTTGCGTGTTTTCTTATTATTTTGAGGTGGTTATTTAGGTTGGTGTGTCCTGTTTGGAGTTTAGTGAGTGTCGATTTTTTTGGACGGATGTAGAATTTTTGGTTTGGTTAGGGTTTTTTTTAGAACCTTTTCGATTTGGCTATTTGAGTTTTGATATAGGTTATGCCATTTTTTGGTGATTTTGAGATGGGTAAGTTTAAGCTTATTTCTGGGATTTTAAGGGATGGTTTAGCTGCTTTATCGGCGTTTTCATTGCCGTATATTCCTACGTGGGCGGGGATCCAAATGAATACTATTTGTTTGCCTGCCTTAGTTAAATCGTTTGAGCTTTTTAGAATTTGATTTATTAGTTCAGGGCGGTTTTTGTTGTTTTTATTTTGTAGGGCTTGTAGTCCAATGAGCGAGTCAGTTAGTATTATGATTTTTTGTTGTTCTTTAGATTGTTGAATATGAAGGGCTGAGGCCATGCCCATTAGTTCGGCCGTGAATATTGATTGTTGTTTGGGACTCGGTAGGATTGTGTAGCTTTAGTTTGTTGTACATGTGTGACTCCGAAACCTGTGTGTTTGGAGATCGGATCTGAGGATCCGTCTGTGTAAATGTGACACCAATTTGGCCAATTTTCATGTATGTATGCTAGTGTGGTGGTTTTTGCTATGTTTGGGTCTGTTTGTTTATTTATTGTGCTAGCTAGTGTTATGTCTATTTTGGGTGTTTTAAGTTTTGGGGTGAAGATATTTGATTTTTTACAGTTTTGTTTAAGATTGTTTATTTGGTGTTCATTTAAGTAATTGGTTATTCTTTGGGATATTGGAATAAGTAGAGGGTGTTTTCGAGCTAGGGCTTGGTTTTTGGGGCTGATATTTTTGTTTATTAGGTTTTGGATTAGGGGGTTGGATTGAGACGCGGCCCAGAAATTTAGGGTTAATTGTTCCCTACGTAGATTTAGTGGCATTTCTCCTGTTAAGGCCTGGGGTGAAGTGTAGGAGGTGCCATGTTGAGTGTGTGTTATTAGTTTTAGAGCCTGATATTGGATTGAGTCTAGTTTTTTGCTTAGGGATTGGTTTAGGGTGTCGTATATGGCACACCCGTAGTCTATTTTAGATCTAATTAGTGATATATAGAGTGAGAGGAGGGTGTCTTTGGAGGCACCCCAGTTTGTTAAGCGTATTTAGATCTTTGCTACATTTAGTTATTAGATTATTTATGTGAGCGTCCCAGGAGAGATGTTCATCGAAAATTAGTCCTTAGAATTTGGTTTGTTTTAGGAATTGGATTGGTTTATTGTTTAGCTGGAGTTTTGGGGAGGCGGGTTTCATGTTTTTTGTGTTTAAATACTATTCCTGTAGTTTTTTCCGAGTTAAGGGAGAAGCCCCATTTGTCAGCCCATTGCTGTATTTTGTTTAGAGATTTTTTAAGTAGGTTTTGGGCCATTTTAATGCTTTTTGTGCGTATCCAGAGGGCTCCATCATCCGCGAATTTAGATGTGTTTATTTTAGGGAATAGGCCCTCGAATTGATCATTTCCAGCCGTCGCACTTCATCATCGTTCTTGTAGTCCGTAGCCAGACCTTCCTTCTGTACTTCCAAATAAGTTGCACTCTTTATATATACCATCAAATACATACTGTATGTATTCTTAAGAAACGACTGTCCTCTAAACTCATCGGTATCATAACCCATATCAACTAAGAAACTAATTGTTTGTTCAATTAAGAAACTGATCATCTCTTCTCCTGTGTTTAAACATCCAACTATTATTTTTTATGAAACGACTCTCTTGTAAATCTCCTCTACTCTCCTCTCTTCTGTTTGAACAGCACGGGCGCTAATCTAAACTACGGTAATCCGGTGTTTTTATAGCAATTACTCATTTCTCGCTTTCGTAGGACAAATACCCCAACTTGGGTTTTCGCTTTACTGATACTAGGGAAAATTGTATTTTCGTATATATATATATATATATATATATATATATATATATATATATATATATATATATATATATATATATATATTGTAGTTACATGTAGTTACATGTACATGTACATGTAGTCCATGTTTTCGATATGTAAGGCACAAAGACATAAAAGGTTTATGAACATTTTTAAAGTTTTAAAGTGTATTATAAAGATACACGAGATTTGGGAACACTGACATGAGCAATAAGACAAAGCAACATAAACAAGCATAAAAGGGTATAGAGAAAACGGTGAAATCAAATTTAAATTGATCTTGGTAAAAAGCATATTGTTCTAAACAACTTGCCTATTCACAAGTGGTTCCCGGGGATAGAATAACACAATTTGTTTGACTGTTTTGAGTTGTTGTAGACTGACGAGTAGCAAGTGTTTTTCATGCTGTGTGTATGCTTCCGTATAAAAATTACAAGTTACAAGTTTACAAGACAAAAGCTTTGTACAATTTACAGTATTATTAATAATTCATGTGAATCGTATTTACATGACACCATACCACCGCTGTTGAAAATGAGGTTAGTGTGACCTTCACCTTGAGATTCATCACCGTAGAGAATATGTTGCATTGTAATGTACTTCCAGCTCTTATATAGTTAGAGAACATGACATTTTTCGGAATAGTGTAATTGAGACATTCAAGAAAGAAGTGTATGGTGTTTTTACATGGATTTTCAAAAGAGCAGGACAGTATTAGATAAATTTACTTCGAAGAAATCTGCGTTTTGGGAACTGCAAGATTATTCTGTCAAGTAAATATTTAACGGTTCTTAACGAACAAATCATTTTGGAAGCTGAGCGGAAAATGCTATCAACGTGGGTTGTCCACTTCATATCATGAGAGAGAGTAATCCTAAAGGAGTTTTGACAAGCACGAATATCTATGTGTGCATGTATGTACATGTCTAAATCTGCATTTATATAAGTAGGCTTGCATGTGTATTTGTGCTTATGTATTTTCGTATTTATGTGTATATGCATGTAAAATGTGTTCACATAGGCATGTTTATGTTCTTCTTACAAATATTAGGTTACAAAAAACATGAGAACGCACAGTAAAGTTCTAACTCTCAGGCACAATAAAGTACTAATTATAAAGTGGAGTGAGATTGAACAGTTTTAATTGGCCAATTGTATATATAAAAATTACATTTCAAACATTTATTTTTATCAATGTAGCAAACTTACCAAGCCACCTACCCCACTGTTGGATAGGACTTGTAAATATTGTCACGCCAATCCTACTAATGATCATGTAAATTTTGTTGAAGATGAATGTCACTTTTTAATAGAATGTCCATTTTATGATGATTTAAGATACAACTTAGCTAAAGAAGCAACTTCTGTAGATAAAACATTTTATTATATGAGTAGTTTAGATAAGTTTATTTTTTTTATGAACGAAGAATCGCTCCAATGTATTTTAGCCAAATCAATTTACAACATGGTTAAAAGAAGGCATTTTCATTTTAAGCCAAGTATGTATGTATGACTTGTATGTATGTATGTATGTATGTATGTATGTATGTATGTATGTATGTATGTATGTATGTATGTATGTATGTATGTATGTATGTATGTATGTATGTATGTATGTATGTATGTATGTATGTATGACGTGGTGTGTGTGTGTGCACGCACGCACGCACGCACGCACTCGGGGAGCGGGGGCGGCGCAACGGGGTGGGGGGAGTTAAGGGGGAGCGCACTGTTTAACTTAGGACTTTCGAAGTCAGTTGCCCTGTATCCTGGCATACTGGTGCGCTCCTCACTGAAACCGCCCACGGCCGTGCTCCGCGCCTGCATCACGAGGTATGTATTTTTTATTCTGTTTCAACTGAATAGTTTTATGATTGATATGTTTTATAGTGTCTCGTAGGTCATATTTGGCCGGATGTTATATTTTACTGTTTTGTATATATCTTATTACGAAGTGTATATAACATGTGACACTTTAATAAACAATATTCTCTCTCTCTCTCTGTAAACAGCAAATGTAATTCAGTTTTATGTCATCTTACTATATCAGTTTATTCCTACTTATTTTGGGGATACTATAAACATGTATCAAAGTTTCTATTGAACTAGCGTGAATATATAAAAAAATACTTTGCATCTCATAATTTCCTCGACACCCACTGAAGGCTCTGATTTTGGCTGCGTACGTTTCTGTATACTGAGGGGTACATAGCTGTGGTATCTATGCCGACAACGATCCCTTCAGTTCCATATAGGCCACGGTCGTATGAAGCCAATCGTTCTTCTACCCAGGGTTCCTTGCTGCAAGCCGAGTACCTTTGCCAAATCGTCACATCTTACGCAGTCCGTTCATGTGTTTTTCATCTGTTATTAAAGAAGGGAAGTGCTAACAGGAATACAAGACATTTAAGATTTTTTTATTTCAATTTGGGAACACGTATACACCACCGGATGATAAAAGAGGATAACAAGAATATAATGATAGAATAATAGATGTCTTGTCCCTTTAAGGGGCTGTATAATTATTATCAGATATTGTGTCGATGTACGTTACAAATTAATTAGAAACTCTTTAATTATCCATACTCTCTGGCGGTATGAGATTAATTCTTGGTATTTGGCTCTTGACAAGCAGGCATCAAGTCGCGCTTGTCTTGGAACAATTGTCTATGTAATAAGCTTACTATTGTGTCGATAACAATGCATCGCCTATTCGGCCTCAGGCTGTAATAAACCGAACATGCGCAGACACGGACACCAGTCTACCTGCGGGCTCAATGTTACTGATTGGCATTTTGCAGTTGACATCAATTGAGGACGGTAAAGGGTGAGGGAGGTAAGACGAGCTTGATTTTTGAGGGACAGTTTTATTCATAGCTTATGTGTCAAGCTTGATACTATATACAGTCTTATGTGAAAGAGGGTTACTGTCTTTTATGTTACACTGCATTGACAGGAGGAGAATCGATTCGTACAGTGATTATTTTGGTTCAGCTGACACAATGAATACTTCTGCCTACACTATTCTACCCAACATTGGTTTCTATACAATACAAATGAAGCAGTAGACCATTTGGATCTGAAGTTTTGATCCAGATCGAAAGTCGTGAAGAGACCGGGCGTTTTTATTTTGTTTTGTTTTTACGCAACCAGTTTATGACGTCAGATGATTCGTTTATATCAGCATATGTACTACTGTCAAGGTAAATGTTTCTCGAAATTTAGAAACATCATAACCCCGGCTAGAAGTATTGAAAAAATCATTTATGTTGAGATCGGGTTAGTGCTAGTGTTATAGATAGGTTGCCCTAACCCAGACAAAATGTGAAGCAGGATTTATTGGCGGAAATCTTTCCTCTGTCTGTTCATTTTATTTATTAACTATGTGCTGGATCCTGTTTTAGTACAGACAATATTCATGCTATTCACTCAATCGATCATATATACATTAGATGGTTAATCTTTCATTTCCAACGTGAATAATGGCACACACCGAGATGCAGGTGATCGGTGCCATAGCAACGCACACAACAAAACCATTTGACCACATGGATATTTTGTATCAACCAGCAGATTGGCGAAACACATCATCCAGTAACTGTATCGGTGACATAACAAACAACGACTCGGATGAAGAGCGTTCGTGTGGAACAGCGGCCTTCTGTCGTATCCATGATCGGGGCTCTAGTTGATGGTGGTGTGACCTTGTTGAGGGTATTAGATATGTTCATACAAAGTATGCAGAAGATCATTTTGACATATTATCGTTCGGGGCTCTGTGGTCACTCTATTTAGCCCCCAAGTGAACCTTAGCTAAGCGTCTTCAAGGGATTAATGTCAATCAGACGTGGGAGCATTCGTGTTAGGTCAAGCGAGAGAAACATGGCGTTTGGGTATATCGGTTAAAACCATGTTCAATCATGGGTTGCTGAAGACCTATTCCATCCCGGATCTTCACGGGTCGAGGGTTATGCGAGAATTGCGCTCACGCGGCACTGTATGTACCCCTGGCTATAACATTACGCAAATATATAGAATATTAAATTTACTATCCGATGGCGTTTAACTACAAATATTTAAACCGGTTTTAAAAAAGATACTGCTGAGACTTGTCCGAGAATTGATTCTGCGTTGTCACTCTCGCATCCAAGGGGTTAAGGACGAAAACGGCGTGCCATCGTGTGGAGAGTTTCCCATAATATCAAATTTTATTTATACACTTAAAAGCCACTGGCATCTAGAACAGCCGTGTAATATACCGATGTACCCGTGTAACAGCGCGTGGTTATATATACATGTAACACGTTGTGTGAATACTATACTCCACTATTAGTTAAATAGTTAATTATAGTAGCGGTATTATAATTATAGTAATAGTAACTTTTGTATTCTCTCTAGATATCTGACCGCCTCCGTGGTCTTGTGGTAGAACGTCCGCCCGGAGAGCGGAAGGTCCAGGGTTCGATCCCGGGCCGCGTCATACAAAAAGACGTTAAAAGATTGTACTTGTTGTTACCCTGTCTGGCGCTCGGCATTAAGGGGCTAAAACAAGGACTGGTCGGCTCGGAGTCAGTATACTGTGTCTGAGTGGGGTATTCATGTTAAACTGCAGCATGGTATCTCAGTGAGCTAGCACTATAAATCGGCATCAGTCCGGACTAGTACAAGCAGACACACACACACATACACGTGCATGCACGTCGCTATATAAGTGCAATAATCTTGGACGCGACGTTAAACCCCATTTCACTTCACCTCTCTAGATATCTAGATAGATAGATGAAATGTCTCCCGGGCCAACTGCCCCGCCACATCAGTGTACTCAGTTATACCATTTTTTGTGGTATCTCGATGAAATATTCTCAAAATATCCACCAATGGTTTGTCTGGGCCAGACGGGACTATTTACAAGCCGGAGTGAGATAGGTTGGATATGTCTGACGGTGGTTGAAAACAACACTAACTCAATCGTTTTTTACCGCAAAGAATCATTTGTCAATATGCAAATATCTACTTGGTATAGCTCAACACATTATTATTCGTAATCGATAGAAACAAATTATGTGCACGTGAGATGTGAATATTGGACATAAAAGAAGAACAGTAAATTATAATATTATGTTATATAAAGTGGGTGCTGTGTGTATACTATACACCACTTTTAGTTACATAGTTAGTTATAGTAAATTATGTGAGATGTGAATAATGGCTATAAAGGCTGAAGATGAATAATGATGATATAGAACATCAACGCCAGAGAGTAAGCAGTCTCGATTATCCTACGAAATATATTCATTTGATCGTAGAAGGCCATATTGTGGTGAAAATTATATGTTTGGATCACTGAATATCAGTGATGACACAAGCTGTTCGCGAAAAGGGTAAGCATTACCTGCCCTACCGGCAGCACCCGCCACTCACACAATTTGTATAAAACAGGAAGTGTTTGTTGCCAGACACCGCGCATGAGCAGCAGTCGAAATAATGGCCTTAGTAAAAGTGTTTGAGTATGGCTTTATGCCGCTTTTAGCTAGTACAATTCTTTTCAACTCCGATTTTAAAACTATATTGTTTTATGATGATCTACAGGTGCATCTGGGAAGGTTTGGAATACCGTGGACGTAAATCCTGTATGCAAGATGGTCTGTCAGGATGTCACCTGGAAGCAGGTTTTTAAAAGAGGTAAATATATTTTCTACATTAGTTTCATGGCTATCAATCTTCTGTACAAATGAATTTAGCAGTAATGTCTTCGGATAACTGTATATATTGCTTTTTTAAATTACTCGTGAAGTGCACCCATTTATATAATTAGGGATCGTCAATTTCATATACTATTTGACAATGTAATTTTTGTGATAGACAATCCATTTGTTTTTCAACAGTCCGAAGCAAGTTTATATAGTTTATAGGACATGGGGCATGGTACGATAGAGCCAGGACCTTTCTGCCCCACTAAAACCACCAGATTTCAAGTTCAAATTTTGTCGAAACTACTGTAGTTCAATTGACGGACGACTGACTACAGTTCCCATCAAGAACAGGTTAACTTATTAGTATTAAAGCGTGCACTGAGCATCGAGTTCGTTCTCAAGTTGAAAACCCATGTTCGATTCTCTTTATATTTATGTCCATCCATGACCTCCTCCGAGGTCAAATTGCAGAAACCATGAAGAAAAGATGAATACCTCACTCAATAATATTTTTGTTTCAGATCGAAAACTAAAATATATGGTTCTACTTGGTATTGCCACCATAGTGGTGTGCGGATTCCACGTGTCAAGTCATCTACCAACAGTCGTAGAACCTTCGAAGTCTGGCATCAAAGATGGCGGCGAGGAGAATCAGCAGACAACTTTAGGAACGCCGAGCCAAAACCTGAATAAAACCCCGTCTAACAGTATATCGGAAAACCGAAACAAACATTTCATTATATGTATGGAATCTGGTCGCCTTGGAAACTTGATGTTTACTTATGCATCTATTTATGGTATTGCGTCGAGAAAGAATATGAGTGTTGTCATTGATGAAAGCAACCCGCTGGTGAAACATTTCAAATTGGACGCGACAAGTATGAAGATTCAGTCACTAAGCGGTCATTTGACATTGGTCGAAAAACGTCCGTGTGACTTCGACCAAGCATTGACCAAGTTCGACTCAAATAGAAATGTCAGGATAGAACGTTATTTGCAGTCATGGCGATACTTCCCTCACGTCGAGGACAAAATCCGGAGTCAATTTGTTTTCTCAGATTCTACAAAAGCATCGGCTGATGGTATTCTTAATAAGATTCGTGAGGAAAGGTCATTGTCAGCCAACGCGAGTGCCACCTTAGTTGGCATCCACTACAGAAGAGGGGACTTAGTCGCGAAATATTACCAAGATTTTGGTTACAACATTGCGCCAGTGGAATACATTCAACGTGCAATGGAGTACTTCCGCTTGAGGTACAGTCACGTAACTTTCGTCCTTGCAACTGTTTCCGCTGACTTCTTAAAGGATCTTCTGAAGGACGGTAGCGTCATACATGTGACTGGAGGTACAGCGATAGCAGATATGGCCATTTTGGCGAGATGTGATCATTTGATTCAAACTACCGGGACGTATGGATGGTGGTCAGGATTTCTAAACAGTGGTACTGTTGTGTATTATAAATACCCAGCAAGAGAAGGATCTGTATTACGAAAATTGTTTAGTAGTGACTATTCAAGTTTTTTTTACCCCAAATGGATTGGATTGGAATGAACGGGGAGCTATTTTCATCAGGTGTTTCAACTTGTGGGATTCTGTGTGCTATAGGTTTCCGGCAATCTATGTTCGTCTTTTGATTGGATTAAATGGATCTGGCGGTCATAATGTTTTGGATAGGACCCCAGACTCGGTGACTTGGTTGATTGTGTGGCATACTATCTTGACGGTGTGAGACGTTGCTCATAGCACAAACCATCGGATGGGTGCGGCGTAAAACAAACATGAGGCCTTTGCTGAGTATTAAGAAGTTGATGGTTCGTACAGGCATCGATACATTGAGTCTGTAGAAATATCTTGAGTCTGTAACTATCTCCATCTCTACACGCATTTGGGGCGGTCGAGTATCCTAGTGGTTAAAGCGTTCGCACGACACGCCGAAGACCCGGGTTCGATTCCCGACATGGGTACAATGTGTGAAGGCCATTTCTGGTGTCCCCCGCCGTGATATTACTGGAATATTGCTAAAAGCGGAGTAAAACTATACTCACTCACTCTACACGCATTAGGATGTGGAAGATAAGCTCACACGCATTTGTACTTATCAACATCTCTAATCCCTCATACGCATCCAGATTCCTCTCGCAACATTTCTCCTGCCACCATCCCACTGACGATACAGGATCAACGTAACAGGTTCTGTTCTTGCCGACAGAGACGAATTGGGCATCGCCTGTGTTTTCAGGCGTGTCGCATTAGTGTTTGTAATTTTATACATTAAAATATGGTTTATTAAGTCTTGTAATTTAATGTCTTCAGTAGATGATTACATTCATTATTCGTGTGTGTGTGTGTGTGTGTGTGTGTGTGTGTGTTCGTAATATATATATATATATATATATATATATATATATATATATATATATATTACGAACACACACACACACACACACACATCTCTAATCCCTCATACGCATCCAGATTCCTCTCGCAACATTTCTCCTGCCACCATCCCACTGACGATACAGGATCAACGTAACAGGTTCTGTTCTTGCCGACAGAGACGAATTGGGCATCGCCTGTGTTTTCAGGCGTGTCGCATTAGTGTTTGTAATTTTATACATTAAAATATGGTTTATTAAGTCTTGTAATTTAATGTCTTCAGTAGATGATTACATTCATTATTCGTGTGTGTGTGTGTGTGTGTGTGTGTGTGTGTGTGTGTTCGTAATATATATATATATATATATATATATATAGAGAGAGAGAGAGAGAGAGAGAGAGAGAGAGAGAGAGAGAGAGAGAGAGAGAGAGAGAGATAAAGAGAGAGAGAGAGAGAGAGAGAGAGAGAGGTTATCACGCGGGTGTGTTTGGGGATGGTAAATATCCTGCATTAGGAATAAATATTGTATTTAGCGAGCCTTTGCGAGCTAAATACATATATGATATATATCAATTATTTATCCGCTCTGTCAGGTATATCAGCACGCAACAACTACATCAAAAGAAAAACTCTGCTCAATAAATGCAATAGGGAAATCGAACAATGAGTCTTCAGTTTACGTAAGGTACGAAATAATCGCGTCTGGACCAGACAATCCAGTGATTAACATCATGAACATCGATCCACGCAGTTGGGATAGCGACCGCCTCTTACGACAAGCATAGTAGCCTTTTACGGCAAGTGTGGCTTGCCGAAAACCTATATTCATACCAGGATCTTCACAGGTGTCAACAATAAACAAAGCTTCTGTGTTCATTATCAACCTAACCAACCACACAATCTAAAGTTCACACTTTGAATGATCGGCTTACATAGTTTCTGCGTAATTGCAATTTAGTAGGTGTCGAACTTAAACAACATCCGCTCGCTAACAGACCTCAATTGCCTACTGAGATTTAATTAGTGCGTATTCAATCAGTGATGTGTACAGAGCGATGATGGCGAAACGATGATCGTAACTCCCATACTTTAACACAGACTTACAATAATCGCAGTACTAAGCTCGCTTTGTGCAGGTGGGCCCAGGTATTTCATGGATAACTTCGGTGTTGGGCGCAGTATTCGGGCATTTGCTAAATCAGCAACAGCTTCAGCTTGGATGCATCTCCCTGTATCGGGTGAACTGGAAATTACATATTACATTCATTTCGTATGTTTTCAAAAGACTTGCACATAGAAGTAACAAAATAACATTTCCTTTTCGGTTCCTTGCTTTTTAGAAAAATACGCTGACCAGTTATTTCATTATTTATTTGTACACAAAGGCGTATCATACTGAAGGCATTTAGAAGTAAGAAGAAAATGATGACTTGAAACTTTTTATGGATAGTAACTTCTTTTATTCTTTGTTCACGGCGTTTCAGAGTTACTTCTAGCTCCTTCATCAGGTGATGCCGAGGAAGTGTATCATGATATGTTTACACAACACATGGTGGGATGAATGTACAAAGATAACAATGTAATGACGAAGCCAGTGTGATTAACAGGAGAGGATTCAATCATTCATATCACTTGCAATTGTTTTAAACAAAATGGCGGTGCCAATTCAAGACGATCTGATCTATAATACATAGTTCCGACCGGGAGCCATTTAACCATTCGGAGCGCTCGCTTTCCTTCGCTGCCGAATAGCTTGACACAAGGGCGCCATTTTGTCCCCCAAGCGCTAACGCTATCCAAGGCCTTCACAGCCACGTGTTGTATTGGGGTCACTGCACGGTAATTTTAGGTATTCGCATGAAGGCGATTCCCGGTGTACTTTGAAGTTTCTCGAATATGGACGACGTCTTAAATGGGTTAAGCACACCCAAGGACGTTCCGACACACGCCAGTTTCATAGCGGTGATGTCCCGCGAGCGGTGCTTTTGACGGCGTTGGATCAAGCAAACCGTTTGAAGATTCGATTATGGACGATGTCGGAAATGGGCATAGAACACCCTGGGACACTTCGGTATAAACCAATTTCATAGCGGCGATATACTGCACTAAAAAAACTTACTTTTGACGGCCTTGGTACAAGCAAACCATTTTACCCAGTTGGCGGTATCCTCAAACATTCTATGTACAGATACAACCCATGCTTGCCTTCTGTGTTGTACCCTCAAACATTCTATGTACAGATACAACCCATGCTTGCCTTCTGTGTTGTATCCTCAAACATTCTGTGTACAGATACAACCTATGCTTGCCTTCTGTGTTGTACCCTCAAACATTCTATGTACAGATACAACCCATGCTTTCCTTCTGTGTTGTATCCTCAAACATTCTATGTACAGATAAAACCTATGCTTGCCTTCTGTATTGTATCCTCAAACATTCTATGTACAGATACAACCCATGCTTTCCTTCTGTGTTGTACCCTCAAACATTCTATGTACAGATACAACCCATGCTTGCCTTCTGTGTTGTACCCTCAAACATTCTATGTACAGAGAAAACCTATGCTTTCCTTCTGTGTTGTACCCTCAAACATTCTATGTACAGATACAACCCATGCTTTCCTTCTGTGTTGTATCCTCAAACATTCTATGTACAGATACAACCCATGCTTGCCTTCTGTGTTGTACCCTCAAACATTCTATGTACAGATACAACCCATGCTTTCCTTCTGTGTTGTATCCTCAAACATTCTATGTACAGATACAACCCATGCTTTCCTTCTGTGTTGTATCCTCAAACATTCTGTGCACATAAAAAAACCCATGCTTGCCTTCTGTGTTGTACCCTCAAACATTCTATGTACAGATACAACCCATGCTTTCCTTCTGTGTTGTACCCTCAAACATTCTATGTACAGATACAACCCATGCTTGCCTTCTATGTTGTATCCTCAAACATTCTATGTACAGATACAACCCATGCTTTCCTTCTGTGTTGTACCCTCAAACATTCTATGTACAGATACAACCCATGCTTTCCTTCTGCGTTGTATCCTCAAACATTCTATGTACAGATAAAACCCATGCTTGCCTTCTGTGTTGTACCCTCAAACATTCTATGTACAGATACAACCCATGCTTTCCTTCTGTGTTGTACCCTCAAACATTCTATGTACAGATACAACCCATGCTTGCCTTCTGTGTTGTACCCTCAAACATTCTATGTACAGATACAACCCATGCTTGCCTTCTGTGTTGTACCCTCAAACATTCTATGTACAGATACAACCCATGGTTGCCTTCTGTGTTGTACCCTCAAACATTCTATGTACAGATACAACCCGTGCTTGCCTTCTGTGTTGTATCCTCAAACATTCTATGTACAGATACAACCCATGCTTTCCTTCTGTGTTGTACCCTAAAACCTTCTATGTACAGATACAACCCATGCTTTCCTTCTGTGTTGTACCCTAAAACCTTCTATGTACAGATACAACCCATGCGTGCCATAAAAGGCGACTATGCTTGTAGTAGGAGGCAACTAATGAGATCGGGTGGTCAGGCTCGCTGACTTGGTTGATGCATGTCATCGATCCCAATTGCGTGGATCGATGCTCATGATGTCAATCACTGGATTGTCTGGTCCAGACTCGACTATTTACAGACCGCCGTCATATAGCTGGAATATTGCTGAATGCGGCTTTAAACAACAAACAAACAAAACAAAAACTATGTACAGATACCTCACTCACAAGCAGGCAGCTGGGCTGCGCCTTTGATATCGCCTCCAAAAGATGTAGTAGAATGAACTAACGTCGGGGGGTGTTATTTTTATGAAGTTATACCTTTGCGGCATATGACTAACGTTTATTGTCATGTGTGCTATGACTAGAATAAGAAATTCAAGCTCAGTTACCGCGCTATAGCGCTACCGCTGTCTCGCTATACCGTCACCCAGGCGATCCAATACCGAGAGAGGGAAATGTTTATTTAAGTGTCACGTGCATATCATATGATAAAATACAAAATGTACATTCATAGAATTATAAAAAAGCACCCGGCCATATGGCCTATGAGACACTATAATCTAAAATATCACAGAACAACAATAAGTTAAGAAAGTACAAATGACAAACAGTACATACATTCAATATATAATTAAAACATGACTTATACCAAAACCTTTATGAGAACAATCATAAAGGTCTATCAACAACATAGATTCTCGCACAAACATGCATTCAGTCGAACGCATTCACACACATACATACACGCATACACACACATACATACACGCATACACACACACAACATACACATAGACACACAGACACACAGACCACACACACACACACACACACACACACACACACACACACACACACACACACACACACACACACACACACACACACACACACACACACACAACATACATACATACATACATACATACATTCTAGGGGGCAGAGAGGACAGATTCTGTCATGAAGTGGAATAGGCGGCTTAGAATATCTGCCTGTCTCTACACACAGAGGCAGACTGCAGGCTCTCAGTCGTATGAAGGACTTGCGGTGGTGTCAAGACATTGTATTGGTTACATAAGCTTCTGGGCACAGGTCTTTCTTAAACATGCGATAAGTCCTAAGTTTATTTCCGTTTGTTAAATTTCCTTTATCGTCCCATAGGTCAGTAAACCACTTCTGTTCACCCTGAATGTTCAGCTGCTTGCGAATAAGTTGTACAGTGGATTTAAAATTAACTGCGGTTACGTATTGCTCAAGTCCCAAGGCTTTACTCAGCTTCTGCACTCGGTGTTCCCAGGATCTCTTCCGGTTGAGTTACGACTTATGTATCTTGTTAGGTAGTCTGGATTCGTGCAGGTCACATGCTAAGAACGATGAGAACTTTGTT